CAGTTGTTCTGGTTGTCTGGGTGCAGCCAAAGAGGTGTCTGGTACAAACCATCTGTAGCACTGAAACACTCCTGTAGCCGATGACAACACAACAGCTGGTCTTGTTTCCATCTGTAACCTTACAGGCAGCTTTCCACTCTTCTGTTATGGAGAGCGGTAGCTTGGCTTTCCTCGTTGGCTGCGAAGCCTTAGGATTGCTTAATTCCGTTCCCAGGCCCGGCATGAAGTCACGATTATATTTGTGGCTCTTAAGGAGTCAGTACTGCCTTTGACATTTTAAAATTTCTTTATAGTAGTAGCTGTGGTGATATTTACTCTTCTGTTGCAAGTGAGGCATTGAACTGCTTTGTAAACAGATCTAAATAAAAACAGAATAATAGGTTCCTTTTCTGCTTTGTTAGTTTCTGAACGTTGTATGTGTAAAGATTTCTTGTTTCCTCTCCTTAGGTCTTGGAAATGCACTGGGAAGTTAAGTGTATTTAATTTAGAAGTATCCCACAGAATGGAAAAACGATACAATTTTTCCTCATTTTTCAAAAATTTTCAGTATAAAAAAGCCCCATGACTTTATTGTAATACCAAGACGAGAGGAGACACCAGTTTAGTGTGTTGAGCCAGTCTGCTGAACTGCAAACTAGTGAATGATTTTATTATACAATAACAGTGAATGAGAGGAATTACTTCATTTACAAAATATTAAGACATTTAATGCCATATACTTGAGAAATTATATGTGCTAATTCCTATTTGTAGTTCTAGTTTCACTGTGGTTCACAGACCCTTGAATGAGAACAAAGCCTGTTATTTCAAGTTCATATGTGTGTAAGCCTAGTTAGCTGTCCACGCATGTCTTACAGAGGGGCAAAAACATGAAAAATCCAGAGCCACAAAGTGGAGCTGTGGAGAATTGAGAATCCCTGACTCCCTGAGGTGTGCTATATCCTATAAGAACAGTAACTTCTAAAAGGTTTCCTTTTTTTTTTTTTCTTCTCCTTTTCCTTCACCTCTTTCTCCCCTCCCAACTGTTTTTAAATCTCTATATTCTCAGGAGCATTGGTCTTCCCTAAACATCTTTCTTATCTCAAATCTTCATCCTGGAGAAAAAGTTGAAAAAGTTGTCTTTTTTTTTTTTTTTTTTTTGACACCTTTTAGGCTTGATACAAGTGGTGGCAATAAATAGCAAATTTGAGGAACTAATTCCAGGTATAAAGGGGTATACCTGTTCCTGATCTGAGGGATATTTTAGCTGACTAGCTCCTCCTTCCCTCCTTTCCCCTCCCCTGCTTCCTCCCCTGCCCTCGAATCTGGACAAATTACAACAAATTATGTAGGAACAGCAAGGTTCATTATTAAAGAATATATATGGTGGAAATTGATAAGTAATCATTGTGAAGTACTGCATGCAGTATATAGATCATTGAAATGGATATTAGACTGTCTCAGGATACTTCATTTGGCAGACTGATTATGTGGCAGAATGTTTTTACCACAATAAATTTAAGAGAGTTCAGGATTCAGAAGTTGCAGTTACTTTTCTTTTTCTACTTTGTGGACGACTGTCAGATTCCTTTCTCTAGTCTCTGACAAATGATTAAAATAGTCTAACTGTTCTAAGTAATCATGATCTGCAGACTAGTATTGGGGCTGCTAGTCTACTTTGGAAACAGAGTGACTGCTGAACTTCTGCTAATGCATATTTCAAAGCAGTGCAAAAAGATGACGTGTAGTTAACTGTCTGCGTTCATCAGAAAAGTTTGCGGACGGTCAAATATTTAATAAAAGCGTTTGCAGCTTGTGTATGATATAATGATTTTTCTTTCCATGGTGCTGTACTGGTGAACACAGACCTTCACACAGTACAAAATGACATGCTGAATTTGTCTGCTTTGGTGGTTTGCTGTGAAAAGCAGACTTGGATGTCTTTTGTAAGCTTAGACTATCTGTTCTTTGTTTGGTTAATTGATTCCTTTCCACTTCAGCGTGACTAGTACTTAATTATATGCTGTCAGGTCCTTTAGCATTATATTTGTTTTCCTGTAAGCTTAATTGCCCCAAACTATATAGCTATGTGGGCATGACGATAGAACCAATCTTTGTCCTTAAGTTCTCCACCACAGCTGGGTTGCAGTCCCTAAGAAATTCTGAGAGTTCTTGTTTTGCTTGCGGTCATGGAATGACTTTAAGTTCCAATAAAATCCTTTATACTTGCATACTACATTTACAAAAATGCATTTAAAATAAAGTAGTTGCAATTATATTCGTGGTAGTCTTATAGTATATTATGAAAAAAAATCATTTGATATTTATGAAACTTGACAGTCCACCCAGGTTTTTCTCCCCTATATATCTTCTTGGTTTAAAACACTTTATGTTGGTTGGCCTAGGAGAGATGGAACACCAGTTAAGTTAATGTTCCGGTTCAGATCGGTTTGTTTAAAATTAGCTGTTTTAGAGCATTTGTCTGCTAAAAAGCCAGAAACTATAAAATACGTTATATGCTGAGAATAAGTTTAACTTTACATTAGAATGTGGTTCCCCCTGAAGTTGAAAATCATATTGCTGCAAAAAGGTGTCTAGTCTTAAGAGATTAAGACACTGATTTATCTTTAAGATCTCTGATGAAAACTGATAATGTTGTTCACCAGAAACTTTAGAAGCTTGTTAATTTTCTGGATTTCATCAGCTGAGAAACTAAGGATTCTCTAAGATTGCTAGTGCCAAAGATAATGAATGTTATTGGAACACAGATTTTTTTTTTTCCTCTCCCAAAGGTCATTATTCCCTTATTGCCTCTTGATACTGTGTTATGCCAAATTATGTCCATAAGAGCAGCCACTTATGTTTCTGATACAGAGGAGAGCTACAAATCTTGTTTAGTGTAGAAGCTATTTCATATGAAACTGTAAAGGAATATGAGTCTACACAGCATTTTGCAGTATTCATGAGAAGCCTGTTGCTGTCAGTTCGCATATTTAGCTTGTCAAAATAAAAGCTTACAGCAGGTAAAAGATTGCATTATCATTGACATTTATTACTGTCCCTTGTGTCATTTTCATTTACAATAGCTTACTGTTGAGATTTTGTTCCCTTTTGTGTACAGATGAAACAAGTAGATCAGAGTCTAATTTTTCAAACGTTAAGGCTCAATTTTGTGGAAAAAAATAATTTCAGACTGTGGAATTTTGGAAAGTACTTTGTAGTGCAATGATCTTTGCAAAATCAGTTGTGCTGTATTTTTTCTTTGGTTTATTGCTAGTGGCTGATGCTGAATTTTACCTGGCTGGAAGTATTGTTTGTAATTCATAGTTTTATTTTTAGTCTCAATAAATGTTATCCAGTCTTATCTTTTATCCCAATATAGTCTTGATTGGAAAAGAGTGAGATAATTATTCATCTCTTAGTATTACATGAAGTATAACGTACAGCCTTACAAACAGTGTGTTAATGTATGGCTCAGTCTAAGCGTAATATTTATTGTCTATCAATGCAGCTATTTTTCATCTCTGAAAACATTCCTATGAAAAGGCAGATGCCCGCAAATGTCAGTGAAATTAATCATCTGCAGATAAATTGTTGGCTTACCTTCAGTGTCACTTTATCTCTTCAACGTGGTCAGGAGTGCTTGGTTTCCATCCCTCAGGCAAATCCAATTTAAGTTGTAGTCAGAAAGCTTTGCTTGAAAAAGGTCAGAACTTGTCAAATGTTTGTTTAAAAACTTCATATGCTATATAGAATTAGTATGTTAGTCTAGCTCAGGTAATTCCTGAATAGATTGTTTTTGCTGTCAGTATAGCTTTACAAAGATATTTTAAAATAACTTTGTCATACTAATGTTGTTTGTGATGCCGGATTAAAAAATGGCCATGATCAATGAAGGCTATTTCCAAAACACTAACATTAAAACAGTTGTGATCCTGAATTTATAGGTCTTTGAAATTTTGGATTAATTTTCTTAAATTCTTTTCAGATAACGGAAGATTTCCTGGCAACATATCATGCTAACTATGGCTTCAATGCAGATGATACAGACAGTTCATCCGCTTCTGGCACAGCAACTGAAAGTAAGCTACCAGTAAGTTCTAAGACATCAGGAACACAACCATCAGCGAATGAGAAGGGACCACAGCAAACTGATCCAAAACAAAAAGCAGAAAAACGGAAGCTTGAAGCAGGTAAGAGACTAAGGGTTTCTTTTTATATAGGCTACAAACTAGGTAGTACGAAGTGAAAACTGCACGTTGTTAACTGGTATCCTGTACAACAAAGATAATGTGTGTTCTGAAAATTCTCCAAATGAATTTGAAATTGTATAGCACCTCATAGGTATCTTCCCAACCCCATGTACGAGTTGGAAAATAAGCAAGTTAAGGAGTGTTCTGAGTTTTTCATGTGGATAATTAAAAACTTCTCAGAAAATTGATAGAATGTGAATGTCAGAAATACATTAGTGTGTGCTTCCATGTTTAATATATTAGTATAACTGGATTAAACTTTTTTTTAGGTTGGTTTCATGTTGAAGAAGACAGAAACACAAATGTTTATGTGACTGGTAAGTAGCAGCATTTATTTATATATTTTGAGTTAAATCTGGTAAGAGAGATTCATGTTTGTCACGCTGACTTGTAGTATTGCCTATTCAGCCTGCATTTGCAGGCTACTTAACATTCTGTACTTGACTGCATAATGTCTGTGACCTTTACATTACTTTTCCATAAATGCAATTGCAAGGGGCGTATTCCAGTCTTGTGTGTGCTTTTACGTTATGTATTCTGTGAGCGGCGCCAGCCAAGTCCGTGAACCATTGTTCACCAGTTTCTTAAATCAAGCTACAGCAATAAAAAAAAAAAAAAAAAAAAAAAGAAATTCCTGGGAACTCCTAAGGAATAGGACAGTGAAAACAAGTTTATAACAAAATGGTGTGTTAAAGCTACATGTCATGTAATATGTTTTTGTCTTCAATTTTTTTCTGATATTATAAATACATGATTATTTTGATCAGAATGAGGAAAGAGTAAGTACAAAAGAAGCTGAGATTAGGATAAGCAAATAAAGCGGAAGCTCAAATGAAATTATCTGTATGTTTATTACAGTATTTCTCTGCCTCTTTTGGATGTGTGGGGTGCTAGCTTTAGGTGCGTGCTTACCAGTAGTAGTGAAGGTTTCTGAAAATTGTAACCAATGTTTTTTCACTCTTGTTCTCAACACAAAGGTACGTTTGGTTGTCTGAGCGGTCACAAAAATGCACGTGCTGGAGGTCTCAAACATCATCATTCAAGCTAAACTAACATGGAAAATTTTTGTAACTTTTCTCCTCCATTACTGTTTTTCCTTGTCCTCATTCAAAGTTCAGACTTTGAGAATTCCATGCATTATCAGTGAGAATTGCAATTGTGGTTCATTTGTGGGTAGAGGAAAAAAAAGTCTTCTGTTCATAGGAGTTTTTTGTCTCGAATACCTAAAAAGAGGTACAGCGGAACTTTCAACTTTGGGCAGGATATCTACATTCACATAGATCATTGTGTGCACTGCAACGTTAGTGTCATCCTATGTGCTATGTGTAACACTAAAGCTCTAGGCCTGCGTGCTAGGAAGCACAAAACTGTCCCTGTAGATGTTGCAATATAAGAAGCTAGACCTGTTTAGAAGTAAAAAGGTTCTCCAAGTATTGGTATGGAGTACTGTGTAAAAGGTATTAGCAAAAACATTGATCCCAAGAGCAGTGTTTTATTATTGCATATGTAAGACTTCATCATTAAGCTTGGTATCTTTCATTTAGTGAAACATTTTGGGTTTTTTATGTTCTGGTGATACAGAAGAAAACTGAACCAACTAAACCTATTCAACACTTCCGTTTTAACTTATTTTGTAGGTTTACCTCCAGACATTACAAAGGATGAATTTATACAAGTCATGTCAAAATGTGGTATCATTATGCGAGATCCTCAGACAGAGGAACACAAAATCAAACTTTATAAAGATAAGGAAGGAAATCTTAAAGGAGATGGCCTCTGTTGCTATCTAAAGGTCAGTGGTGCACTGAAATGCAGTATTGCTTTCTGGTGAGGATATTTGTGGCCGCTGTTTCAGAACAACATCTAGAAGAGTCCTGAAATACATAAAATAAAATTTAAAATTTAGGTGTCTGTCTTAGACAGTGATCCCAGAAACCCCCCCAATATCTGCTTGTACACCTTTTTTGCTTCCCGTTATCCAGACCCCGCTGAAAATGCCCTTAGTAGCTGTTGGACATGTCAAAAAGTGTTCCTCTCTTTTGGTGCTGGTGCTTAGCTCGGGCATTTTCTGCTGAAGGTCTTTTGGTTTTTCAGACTAGACTTGCTGTGTCTGGATGTAGGTGTGCCTAAGAGGCATCTCACACACAAGGATAATATGTTCATCAGTTAAGGCTATAGCTGTTTCTCATCAGAGTTGATGATGATAGTGTTTGTATGACAGTCCAGCGGTCTATTTTCTGAAGACTTTGAAGTTCTGTGTTTGAGCAGCTTTGGATCATAGCTCCTACAGCCAATAAGTATGCTAACGCTTGGCTTCATTGATACTCCAGGGGTTGGAGTGGGAGTGCCTTCACCTTTTACTTTGAAAATATGCTACTGTGTGGCCACAAATACGAGAGGAATGAGATGGAAAGGAACTTACTGTAACCCTGTAGTTAGGGCCCTTAGTTAAGAAGAATAGTGTTTAAATTTAGACCTGATCCCAGAGCTGTTCTGCATTCTATGTTAATCTATAACAGTTTAGGTTGTGGTAGTATATCCTTTACGTGCTTCACTTGCGGATTATTTGGAAAGTTAAAACATGCTGGTGCAATCTGCTGTAACTCTGCAAGAAGTACCAGATAATACTAACACAACTGCCTTGTCATCTCTATTAGCTTCATAATGTTAATAGTTAAAGCTGTTTAGTGAATAGATAGAGAAACCGCTTACAGTTTAAAGAACTTCTAGGAGAGTTTTTAAAAAATGATTTAAGATCTGAAGTGTCTGCTGCTCTAGGAAGTGATGAAAGCTTTACGGAAAACTAGCCCTCTGTAACTTTTTTATTCTCTTTAGAGTTCATCAGCTTAACTGAGTATTGCACATTAGTTTCTATGAAATACTTGAATGAAATGTAAGTCATTGCTTTTGGGAACATTAATCTGCTGTAACAAATAATAATAGTGAAGCAATAATGGTTTTTACTTTGGCATAAAAACGTTGTGGGCTCTGTGCATTTTCACGGGGGTTATTTTAGTCAGGAGTCTTGGGACAGATCGGACGTTACGGTTTTCAGTGTCAGGGAACTGATTCTTATCACAGTGTTCTTAATTAAACCTTACTGGAATAATTTGACTATGCTGCATGCTTCAAAGCTTGTGCCCTGTTTTATCTTCAAATAGAGAGAATCAGTTCAACTTGCATTGAGACTTCTGGATGAGGCAGAAATTAGAGGCTATAAATTGCATGTTGAAGTTGCAAAGTTTCAGCTGAAGGGGGAGTATGATGCAAGCAAAAAGAAGAAGAAATGTAAAGACTACAAGAAGAAGTTGTCCCAACAGCAGAAGTTTGTATTTTTTTTTTTTTCTTTCAGTAACGTGTTACTTGAATACTTTAAGTGTTTTCAATAAAGTGCTGCTTTCTCTCAGGTGCAGTGCTAAGAGCTACGGCAACGTTGCCATCGCTTATCGAAATGAAATAACTTAAAAATATACATTTGGAAGGAAGAACTCGTAAATTAAATGCTGATAACTTAATTTGGCAATTATGAGGAAGTTCATTTTGATATTTAAGGAACCAATGTTCTTTTAGTTCCTCACAGATACAGTATTTTCCTCTACAACTAAAAGACTTTTTTTTTCCCAGTATATGAGAATGCAAGTCCTGTCACCAAATCTAAGCCTACTTCTATAAGAAAACACTCTAGCTCTCCACATACTGTTCATATCGTGCTTTACTAGCTGCAAATGGCAAGGCATGCTAATTTCCATAGCAACAAACATTAAAACAAAATATATTTTGTAGATTCCCCCAGACATCTGCCTTTGGTATAAGATATATTATTATTTTTAATTGTGTATAGATGCATTACTTCTACCTTAAATTTTTTTTCCTGCTTTTTGGAACAAAAAAAGCTCAGATTAAAAAAGAGTATAAGACTCCATTGTTCTAATTAAATCAGCAGTCCACTAAACATTTTAAATAGTACTGCAAATATATTTTGCCATAGTTAAAGGGACCAAGTTGTACTTGACATCTTATAAGTTAAAAGTAGCTTGAAACGTATCTGCCTAGAGAGCCTGCCAATTCTTGTTTTAAGAAGTCTCCAGTGGAGAGAGGAATAGTATAAAATAATGAAGTTGCATTTGACAGCAATTTGTGTGAATACATAAACAAAATGTGTTTTTATTTTAGTTGCTTAACTCTTTTGATCTTATCTTATACAAATTGACTTCAGTTGGTGTTCCTTTTGAGTTGAAGAGCATAATTTACTTGCAAAACAACCTTCACTGGAAATCCAAGTTATCTTCAGGTGAAGTAGCAGATACAAGAAGGAACTTAAACAAGATCTTTTTTTCCCAAAGATAAGATTTTGAGATTTAGAATTGTAAGTGAAATTGTGTCCGTTTTTTGCAATAGGATATGAAATAGGTATTTCTACAAGGGTAATAACTGTCATGAGAAAGCAAAATCCTAGGACAGATACCCTGAAGTACATTGCTAGTTTGTGTAGCTAGCTAGCTAGCTACCTTGCAGTAATTTCTGGCAAGCCTGCAGGTGTTCTTGCACGCTTGTTTAAATGCAAGCAGTAAAATTTTACCAAGAGGAATAACGGATCTCATTTTTTACGTAACGAGTCTCCCTTTATAAGGGATGTTAAAAAAACTGATGGTTTTATTACACTTGGCAGCAGCTAGTCCAGTGTCTGAACTGATATTAGGGAGGAATTAAAGCCTGAGTGTTCAAGAAATCGCTTTGGTGTTCAAAATTAAATGCTCGTGAAGAATTCTGAATTTTAGTACCATAAAACCCCAGCTGCTTTGTAAGAGGAGAATGGGTAAAATCGGGCTTCTGTCGCATTTTTAGAAGAGTAACTTTTTTTGCATCAGAATACTTGTTTTGTTTGATATATTACAAGACATACCAAATTAATGATTTTTTTTCAACAAATACTTGTAGAAACTGAAGAGAGCCGCAACAATATCTTCTTACTGTTGCTTCATTTCATTAGACAGCTGGATTGGAGGCCGGAGAAGAAAGATGGTGCAAGTCGAATGCGACATGAGCGCATCATCATTATCAGGAATATGTTTCACCCAAAGGACTTTGAGGTAGGGAGAAATAGTTTGCTAACATAAATGATGCTGTTACAGTTAACGTTGTCTGAACTTCCTACCATAAGGAATTTGGCAAAACTGTGAGCAAATGAACATTAAACTTACTTTCTAGGCAGACTTTTTTCCCATGGCAAGCATCTGCTTAAAGTTGATTCATCTGTTCATTCTATTTTGATTCATAAAAAACGAGAGAAGAATGTTGGCCGCAATATGTTTTTCTTAAGTCAGTTTTTTCATCAAGTCTCTCCAGACAATGTTTCTTTTGGGGACGGAAAGAAGAGTAGACAGTAACTAAGCTGAAATGGAGAAGCCAGCACAAAGTAGGTTTGCTAATAAGTAGCCCTTATTAACTCCAGTAAGGACTGTCATCTCCAAATGGTTTTGGAAATACACAGTAACATCTTTTAATTTATGAACTTGTAAAAATTTGGCATGTGCGTTCCATTTAGTGCCTAAGTGAAAATAAAGCTGAGAAATAAGTGTTTTGTATTTATTTCATTGATCTGTGTGATTGCATTGCAGGAGGATCCCTTAGTGCTAAATGAGATCAGAGAAGATCTACGAACAGAGTGTGAAAAGTTTGGACAAGTAAAGAAGGTTCTCATATTTGATGTACGTATTCTTACAAGTTGGGTTGCATAATCATTACAATGTGTAAAATGCAAAATATTTAGGTTTCTTTAACTCTAAATGAACCATTTATTTATTTTCATGGGTTTATTTAATGCAAACTTGACATAACTTTTCAATATTTTAAAGTTAGATATTTTGGAATTTTTAAGCACTTACCCACTTTAACCTATGTGAAGGTAAAATCCGATTCATCCCACTAACTTGGATGCACAGCACAAGTTCAGAAGATTATAAATAGAACTATTTACATTTATTTAGCTAAACTAGCTAAAATATTTGTTTCTTTTTTTTCTCTCTCTTTTTTTTTTCCTCTCTCCAAAAGCTCTGCTCTTTTTACCAAAACGTTAAGATAATCTTAGACAATAGAACAAAAGGTGAAAGCTTGTAACTTGTGCTTTTCACACGCGGTTGTATATGGTCAGCGTGAAGCTATATCCTTGTCTTATTAAAGGCAATCCAAAAGATGTTGGAATAGAGGTACTATTCATAAAACTATTAACTAAAAGTTGTCTGTCTTTACAGCGACACCCTGATGGTGTGGCTTCTGTGTCATTTAAAGAAGCAACAGAAGCTGATCTGTGCAAACTAACCCTAAATGGAAGGTGGTTTGGTGGCCGTCAGCTCAGTGCTGAAACGTGGGATGGTGTAACAGATTATCAGGTAGCCTTTCGTGGTCCTACGATCAAATGTTTCTTTCAAACTGCCATTCTGCAGTTGTTGTTGTTGTGTTTTTGTTTTGTTATTTCCCTCCCCATCTTGTTTATCTGCAAAAACTATGAAGGTGCCTCCAGAAGATCATTCTTAATTGTTCGTTTTAACAAAAATTTGAAGGACCTGTTTCACTCCAAAAAATTTTATACTAGAGGTGTAAACTTAATAGAGGATTTATCACTGGATAAACAGATTATTAGCTCACAGCAAACAGGTCCTATTCAAAACTCGAAGTATCACTGCAATATGAACGTCATATAAGTTTATCCATGTAAGTGTATTCACTCTTATGTGTGTGACTTCTTCATGATGTTTATAAACCTATTGTTAATAGGTGGAGGAGACTGCGAGAGAAAGGGAAGAAAGGCTCAAGGTGTGGGGATCGTTTTTAGAGGATCCTGATGCAAAGGAGCAGAAAGATGCATCTGATTCAGATTCTGCAGCAAGTAGTGTTAAACTGCCTGAGGGCAGACAACCTTCAAAAATTAATGACGCATCTAAAGAGGATGTAAATGAAGCCCGTAAGAGAGAGAATAATGGTGAGGGCATTAATGAAGATGGTGCTCCATCTACAGACAGCAGTCTTGCAGGCAGCGATGATGAAACAGATACATAACACCTTTATTGCTTTATGAAAGCATGATTTTTAGGGTGATGTTTGAGTTTATCCCTTGCTTCAGGGTGACTACAGACAATGTTCATATTCATATATGCATATTAGGATGTCATCAGCTGTGTGCTTTAAATTTTTCATTAAAAGCAGTATTTAATGAGTCTCTAAAAGTTTGCATTAATTGGCTGTTCAGGTAAAGTAATTCAAGTTTCCAAGAATGCGTCAAAACTGATCAGGCTTCTTTTGTTCCATCTTTGCTGTCAGTGTTTCATTATGTGAGTGTGAAATATGTTCAAACCCTTAAGTTTATGTAACTATATGAAACTTGAGTAATGCAAAGCTATTACAAGATTTGTGGGTTTTACTGTTAATTTTCCCTGTACTCTTTGGAACTTGGTGTCTTACTCTTAAGAGCTACTGTTGTCCTGAGCACTTTGGATTGTTTTACAGAACAAATGCTGTGATACGTGTAGGGTTAATGCATTGGAAATGTTGTTACACCTAACATAACAAATGATGGAGTAGTACAAAGTTGCACGCTTCATGGATGTGAAAAGCAAATGAGGTTGCCATAGCCGACGTTAAAAGCAAACTGAGTGAAGAAAGATTAACTCACAACATGAAGTATATCAGTCTCTTTCCATTCTGCTTAGATCTTCTGTGGATGCAAAGAGGCTGGAATTACGACAAGGGGACTAGAAATTAATGAGCGCACACATTCTAGGCTATAACGTAAAGAAGACATTTTAAATTCTCCTGGTTTTGTATGCTGTGGGCATGCAGAATGGGCTTTTGAGTTAAGTGTTTGCTTTGTTTTGTTTTTGCCTTAATATTAGAGTAAGGGTTTTCATTTAATTTTGTTAGGATGATGAGTATGAGTTCTTTTTGATACAATTTTTTGGTTTAGTCTTACATGCTTTTCATGCATGGGACCTCTCATATTTCATAAATTTAGAGGATTTTGACAACTTGATCTCCAAATTTGATGTGTAAATGTTAGAACAGTGGAGAACAGGCTTTCAAAGGATACTACTCTTTTATATGGAAGAGGCCGGTACTAAACATAAAATGCTAGCCCCGTTCTTAGAAATATTTCCAAAAGCAAGGATTTAGGAGACCTTTTGGCTTAGGTACATTAGTAAGTAGCAGACTTTCAAAAATAACTTGGAAGGAGCTGGTTTTTGGCATGGTATTCTTTATGTAGAACCAATTATTTTGATTTTTAAGGATGTGAGAGTGCAGATTTAGGCACTGAGCATTTAAAATACTGGTGCTAATTCCATAGCACCGTTGTTCATATGGATGGCTACTAGTGCACATTTATAAAATTTTTTTTAAATTCATATTGGATTGTGAGAAATTGCGGATGCTAGTTCTTATATCTATTTCCATCTTGAAGAATACTCTGAAAATTTATTTTTCAAACTTTGTGGTCCGACGTTACCATTTATATTTTTCCAGAAGTCTATAGGGTAGATAATTTCTGTTATAAATAACTGAGATGTATGGATAGGTTATGGCAACAAAAGCATCCAAGTTAATACTTGCATTGTGGTTATAAATGATACCTGTTCCTGACAAAATATGTGGTCTTATAACAGAGAAGATAGTTGAATTCAGGGTTTAAAAGTTTAATATAAACTGGCATGACAGATTTTTATTCACTTGTATAGTAAAGGAGAGCTGTAGCTCTTGCCATCTAAGAAAGACCGTTTTCTCATCTTTACAAGTGTGTGAATTGTACATTTAAGCAAAACAAATGTTTGAACAGTTCAGGGAATCTGAAATACTGGCTGGTTTGTAGCTGCACATAGTAGCATATTCAGATTCAATCTCTGGATTGTGTTGGTTCTACCTAAAATACTTTTATTGGTAGTAAGAACCACAAATCTTTGAGGGCTTAAAGTTCTAGTATACTAAGTGTGTAATTTAGTGTGATGGATATTGCTTTCAGTGCTCCCTTTTTCTTCCAGTTTCTAAACTCCAGGTTTTAGGTCTGTTAGACTACTGTGCTTTGTTAGCTTTTTTCTTTTTTTGAGAGCCTAATCATATATAACACTAGGCAGTTAAGTCACCTGTTTTACATTGGTATTGCAACTGATATAGGACAATTGACAAATGTATAAATATTGTACAGTTCTATAAAGCCTTATCATGGTATCAGATATAAAACTAAGGTTAGTATTAGTGTTTAAAAAAAACTTTGAAAAATAAAGAATCAGTATATGTGCAGTAACCTTCCTCTCTCCAAGTGATGTGCAAACTTGGCTTGATTCACAAGTCAAATGTGATGTTAGGCTTTTCACCTTTTCCCTTAGACTTTACGCTGAAGCAGAGCACCAACAAAAACTGAGACCAAATGCTTTACTGGCTTTCCTACTGACTAACAGGATTCTTAAGAAAATAAAAGCTGTTTTCCACCAATGTATGTTGTTCTGAAATGCGACATTACACTTAGACTGGTTTTTCCTTTTGTCTACCTCTTTTATTCTCCCAGTAAGATTTAAAAATATATTTTTATAAACTATCCATTGAGGTATTGAAGCATTTAATAGTTTCTGAAGAGGTTAATGTAGGTGTGATTTCCTTTTCGGTAGTTTTTCATGGAGACAATTCTTTTTATTGAGACTGCTTTCATTTTTAAATGATACAAATTTTTATAAATTAGTCTGAACATAAGTTACAGTTTCTCATAAGTATTATATTGGATTATGAAAATGAAATTCTAATAGTGCAGAGGAGTAATGTTTAATATCAAACTTTAATCTGAAGCTGAGCAAATTTGTATTGCTTTCTAAACTTGTGGGGTTTTTTTTCTGGCTGAGTATCATCGTAAATAGATTAGTAAGAGGTTAAAATCCCAATGTGGTTTTCACTGTACTTGTTCTTAAATGCTTTCTAATGACTTCACTAAAGTAGTAGTCTTTATGAAGCCGGTCCTGTATTCTCAGGAATCTGCCTCGCTCATTAGAAGCGACAAAATCAAACCTTTTGCTTAGTTCCTAACTTTCCTCAAGTTTCAATCCAGTGTACTATGTTCTCCTTTATCCCTTCTGATACTTTTTATTTCTTTTTCCCCCTACCTTTCAGCAAGAGGGGTTCACTTCAAGAAAAGTTGTCTCCTTTTCCCAGTATGTTATGAAAACATTACCCAGCAGCAAGTTGAAAGACTTGGTGGATGATCACTGTAGGTCAGTTTGGAACTAAAGAAATCGTCATTTCTATTCGTTGTGACAATGGAAAAAGTATATAAAGCCACTTAAATATAACAGCAGGGGAAAGAATATTAAGTAATTGGTAAAGAATATAGACTAATCAGTACTTCTGCGTAATTCAGCACAGATGAGACTTTTTTTTTTTTTTAACCACACGATGCAAAATCAGTTGCTTAGCTTGAAGATACATTGTAGTAGTAGTACAATCACACACAGCAAACAAAGTAGTTTGCTTTACAATCAATGATTTGCTGGCAAGGTGACTGCATGGAGTTATAAGCATTCATCCAAAATTAGATGGTTTGAGGAGCATGGCCAAGGTGGACATCTGGAAACAAAAAGCCCCAAAAGAACAGATGCGTAAGTTGTATCAGGTTCTTGAACGTTCATATAACAGCTGTAAAGAGAGAATTTAATTTCATTTTGCATCAAAATGTTTATCTGTTTCTCCTGCTGACTCGTAATTACTTTAACTGAATTTCAGTCCCTCATGCGACTTTCACCATGTATAAGGATTGCAATTCACTTAAAATCATTAGTATGTTAAATGCAGTGCATTTTAGCTAAAACGTGTCCTAGACGTCATTCAGTTAAGGCTAAACTAAATACTCAAGATTGTAAATAGATTAATTTACTTAAGAAAACTTTAAAGTATTGGATGCTTCATAGAAACCCAAACTTGCCTTTAAATTTTCTAACAAAATCAGTATCCACACTCTGAATTCTTAAGCTGTATAACTTAACTGAATTCTAAAAAACAGGCATATACCTGTAGATTTTAATTGGGTTTTAAATTTTTATTTCTGAATTTGAGGAAACATACTGCAGTATGATAAATGAATTATGTAAGTTGTGTACTTGTGTTGATTTGACTTGTGTGTATTTTAGTGCTCATTACACAGGGCTTGAAGTCTTACTGTGAAGAAACACTGAAAGTTCTGTAAAATATTTATAGAAGTATGAAATCTTTTGCAGCAAATTGTTTTTTGTTCATTATGTAATATCAAAGTATATTGTTAGATTAAACTTTTCAGTAAGTTGACTTGAAATTTTTCTGAAAGGTTATTTTCTTCTGAGAAGTTAAATTGAATGTTTTCAGTTCTCATCTTTTAGGAAAGAAACACTTGGAAAAAACTATATTTGCATAATATTTATAGCCCTGTGACAGCACCTGAGAATCTCTTGATTTGTCTTGAATTTTGTTTCTTAAAGGGGTTGTGTTTTATACTACCTTTTTAATAAACAAACTCGTGAACAAAATGTCTTTCTGATTAGTTTTGAGAGAATGCATTTGCTTTACTTTTTTTCTCAATAAGTTACAAAATTTAAAGATACTCTATAGCATTTGCTGCACAGTGACTTCAATTCATAGAGTGTATGCGTTAACCTGCCAGTACTTTAGGATTGCAGTCCCCTCTACACCTCACTAGCACTGTAGTTAACACTGGGACGCGTTTTGTTCCCTCTTGGTGGGTTTTGCCTCAGATTTTATTCTGGTTTGGTATATTATGTAACTTGCATAAAGATAAAGGGAGCAGGAGGAATGACTGCAGAAATAATGGAGTTATGGTTGAGAGCGAGATCATTTAAGTTGTTATATACCAATATTGGTATTGGTTCAGGACAAGCAGGATCTCAATTTTTATTCTCACCGATTATTATTATTTTGTTCAGTCTGGCATTTTGAATGCTTAAAAAAAAAAAAGAAATTAATTGCCTCAATTCATAAACTGCAAAGAAACAGAGATGATAATCCCATTTTACCTAGTAGTTTTTTGAAGCATTTACCTAGGGATTTTGAATTGATGCTGTCAACCCTATGAGTGCTTTAACTGCCAACCTAATAGGAAATTCTTGAACAAAGTATTCCTTGAAAAGCTTTAGCAGAATAAATCTCTACTGTTTTAAAAAAAAATGGGGGGTAGGTAATGAAGGGGAATCAAAGAACAAGTGATTCTCATCTGATGTTTATGACACTTAACTTACAGATTCCAGTCCATCGCTCAATTAAAATTTATTTATGCAAAGAATATGCATTATATGTCAATAAAAGACTGTGCACTCTCCTGGAAAATCTTATAGCCTGGTAGTTAAGTTGTTCTTCTGGGAGATGGCAGAGAACAGATTCATACATATTTAGGCAGAGGGAATTGAATTGTGCTCTTCTGCTTTCTGACTGGGTGAGTAAACAAACTCTTTAGCTGCTGAATAAAAGGTGTAAGAAAACGTCACTGCCGGTTTGGTGAATCTAGTTCACCAATGTATTTTCCAGCTGAAACTGGCAAATTTGACTGATTTGGCATTTCTGGAATGGCTGCAATTGCATTTTAGTAAATCTATTAGAAAAACAAAACAAAAAACCTGTTTTTTTGCTACAGCCTTTATAGAGCAATGGTCTCCCTCCTCCCAGCCTCTTGTCTGAAAATGTCTGTAGTCAGGTCCAGAAGAGACAAAATTGGTTATCCGTTTTATCTGGGGCAGAGGCAGAAGACCTTTTCCCTCCAGCAGGCGTTTGTAGTCAGCACTTAATGCTGAGTATAACGTAACTTGTCATAGGAGAGTTCTTTTTGACCTTGGCCAAGATCCTGTTTTGATTCTTTGCCATAATTTGTTTATCATTTTATTGTAAACTCTTCTGAAGTCCAGACATTGTCTCCTTGATTGTGTACACATTGTCATAAAAAAAAAAAAAAAAAAAAGACTTAAAATCTTATTTTCCTCATTCCTGAAACCTCCCAACCTGGTTGACTTGTTGGAGTGCATTGCATGCATTCTTAGTAGCTAGGCTGAAGGAAACGCCTAGTTCAGTCACAGCTAGAGGCTAGAAAGCATGTAGGGAGTTCATGAACGTTGCTCGTCTCCTCCTGTAGTCACTGCAGAGCGCATATTATCTATCCAGGAGAAGGATCACAAACTGCTGGACACAGTATGACCATCCAGCCTGTGGAAGATGTTACCAGTGTGACACAGCTCTTGACAGTGAGTTAAGGTAAGAGAATTCGATGAGAAATTCAATGTGTTCAGTGACTTTCTCAAATACTCTCTTATCTGAAAGATCCTTAATGAAGGACAGTGTCTACCTGTGGAGTTACTGCATAGTACTTGGAAAGGGGACCCTCTTAATAGAACAAGGTTTGTACGTGTGGAAAAATACTCTACAGCATTGTCCCTCATCAGTTGACCATCTCTTAAGCCTGTGTTGACGATGCGTCCTTGCCCACCGAAAGACAAAAGTCTGACGCTTACTCATGCTATTTTGTCATAATTTACCCATTCTGAGAGTAATTTAAGGGTAGTTGAGTACTTCATCATGAACTGCTCCACTTCTGAAAATATTTTGGCAACGGTTTGTAGCAGGTACAAACTGGGAGGACTTCTGCCTTTTTTTTTTTTTTTTGGTAGACTTCCTGCTGGAGAATGGGAAGTTCAGATAACGAAAACTGCGGTGTTCCAAATCTAAGTCCTGACTCTTGTGGCATTGGCATATGATTCACCTGAGAGAACTGAGATATAACCTAGGTTATATCCAACTGTCTTATAACTACTTGTTGGAAGGCACAAGAGGTTTTTAAGGGAAGCTGTAATGAACAGATAAATCAGCATTCTTGGTCTAGAACGCGTTCTTTTTTTTTTTTTAAGCATTGCAACTGCGCAGTTGTCACGCTCCTCTCCATATGTGAGTGACAACCAATACACACTGATAAACAATGGTAAAGGAGTAAGTTGAGTAAATTAAGTATGTTAATAAAGCAGTATAGAGACACAGTGACAGGCATGTAGTGAGTGAGGAGCAAGAGAAATGGTCCTTTGAGCCAGAGTTGATGCTTTTTGAATTGTATGTTGATTTGTAGCGGTGGAGCAGTGTAGGGAGAACTGTTTTGCTGCTTGCTATTGAGATTGCCTGATGTTTTCCGTTCTCACTATATAGTTGGTGAAAGTCTGGCAAAGTTGTCAGCACTCGGGTTGGAATTTTCCGTGGCAAGCGTCTGCCTCCAGCTGAGCGACCAAAAAGTTTCCCAACCTGAACAGTGTGTTGCTTTCTAAAACAAGCCGGGGGGGGGGAATCACGTCTGTTCCTGTGCTTAAAATTCTTCCAGTTTTTCAGCTGAGATGTGTTAGTTCCCGCTCTCCCATATACTTTGGAAGGTACTTGTAAATCACGAGGAATGTTTTCTGCTTAATTTTGCTGCTTTTGTGAAAGTTCAGCCACCACTGAAGTTCTGAAAAACGATCTTCTGAAACAGAGGCTGTTGCAGAGCAGCCCCTCACATTTCCTAACTGGTGATCAACCAGCTTGTGTCCCATCTGCCACTGTGTTCGGATGGACAGGAGACTGGAGCTGGGGAAAGGATGCAGGAATAAAGTCTAAGATGAGGAATGGGGAACTCTGGAGTCTGAACATGAATCAGTTGTTGATGAGAAAGGATTAGGACCGAACACAGTACGTGGGGGAACAGGAGTATAGGGGTGGAAGTAAATGATTAAAATGGATGAGAAGCCTGTAGATGGAAGGATTGCAGGAGATGGGGAAATGTGAGTTTAGATGACTGGGTAGTGGACAGTAGGGGGGAAAAAAAATTAAGAAGAAAGGAAGAGAGACTCTGACCTAGCTTTGAGGGTTCATTGACTAGAAGTAAATGATATAATCAAGGATTAGATCATAAAGCTTAGTCATGAAAAGGTGGATGGACTGTGGTTCGATAACACTAATCCTCCTGTTTCCTAACATCTGAATATTTGAATTTACAACCTAAACACTCTTTTCATGCTTAAGAAAAACTGAGAGACAATCCAGAGGCAACCTGTGTAGATGCTTCAGAAAACCCTTCAGAGACAAACAGATGAATGTCGTGTTTATCGGGAAGTGCTCGAGGATAGGGGCTTTATGATTTAAAAAAAAGAGAGAGAGAGAGAAATATAGGGGAATGGGTTAAGCCTCTCTGACCGTTACAGGATTGGTTGGGCTGAAACACAAATCTAATGACTCATTGGGTTTTGCATGATAAAATTGACCATAGACCAAAGGCTTCCCTAGTCCAGGAAAAATAACAGCTTTCTTTTCATTACCAAGGTAAATCAGTTCCCCTGCGTGATGCACTGACAATGACACTGAAAAGCTGAATAAAAACAGCAGGCATTTCTCACTGCACTCCTAGCACGAGCATTGCTAAACGTGATTTTGGTGACAGTAGAACATATGAGCTCTGGCTGCAGAACTAGCACCCCTGCAGCCAAAAATGGCATAAATGCCTCAAAAGAATGCTTCTCCAGTGCGAGCACTGATGCTCCTTGTCCTACTCTTACCAAACCTGGCAGCAGAGATTTTGAGGAGAACAAAAAGGAGTCTTACTGTCTTCTACTGACTTTCCTGCACAGCAGATTACTTTAGAGTAATTCTTGCCTCCAACCCATAACTTCTGGTTGAGCTACAGCATATGTTTTAGCAGTCTTGCTTCCAAAGTTTTAACTGACTGACAAACCCATCATGTTCCCAGGTAAGCTGTTTTTGTTCTGTTTTGTTTTAAGTCCGTCCTCCCCCCCCTCCTTTTTTTGAAACCTGAATTTGCCACTGTTTGAATTTCCAGTGATTTAATCTTGGAATGTCTTTTTCATTCTAATAGGTGAAACAGATAACTACTCTCAGAAGTTTTTTTCCTTCTAGAAGTGTATGTTAACGGTGATCAAGGTACTTTAAACTTCCCTTCGTCCAAAATTTATTCATTCTCTCATTATAGTAGAGGGATTCTTTTCAGCTCCAGTTACTTTTTTCTCCTTTAAATTTTTTTCACTTTGTCAATATTTTTTCAACATCATAGAAGCCAGAATTAGACAATGCATTTTGATAAGTTCACCCTGAACTTTATGCAGAACTAATACTGCCTCTGTGTTGCCTGTGTTAGCTGTCTAAGTGCCTTGGTTCTTTTTGCACAGTTTCATCCTGAGGGCAGGTTTTGCACAGTACCAGGTCCTAAGCCCAGCGTTACAAAGACAGAGGAAGGCAGGGGTAAGAAATGGCAGCTGGTGGACAGAGGTGCCCAATGTATTCTTCACTAGAGCCCATGCTTTGACAGATGACTTGTGCAAGGTTGATATCCATCATGACCCTGGCATCTCTTTGACTCATTCACTGCTTTCAAGATGCTGTATCCTTTACTAATGCTGCACATGGCGCGGTGTTATCAAACTTGCAGCTAACCAGCAAAAGTTTGGGTTTTGCATGGGTTAGAGTGAAAGGTTTCTCATTTTGTTTTATATTTATTTCATATTAGAAGTATGTAATAGGAAAATCACTAAAGAAAAGGTGAGCGGAAGAAGTAAAACCCAGATGAAGAATCTAATCTTACTAATAACAGTTCTTCTGGTCCTGCCAGTTTCAGGAAGAAAATGGGCTCACTGCTATACAATTTAAGTTGAATAGTACTTCTCTTTAAAGTTTGTTTTTTTGGCAGGGGCTGGTGGTTACTGAAAATGGAGGAAACAAGGAAGCTCTCTCCAAAGCCATGTAAAAGCAAAGAACCTGTGAAAACGGAATGGGGGTCTCAGAGTGTTGTGTTTACATATTTCCAAGGGGATATTAACAGTGTGGTAGATGAACATTTTTCTAGAGCTCTCAGCAATGCCAAGAACCCCCAAGACCTGAGCACGAAGCACAAGAGCGAGGCTGTTGTCCTGAAGAACGGTGAGCAGCTTTCTATGAGAGAGGGTTGTGTCAGAACGGGGGTGACTAGTTTTCGCTGAGGAGTTGAAGACAGTGTGCTGCGTTTTCTCATGTATGCCTGTGCAGCCTTGTTGAAACACAGAGTTTGAAACTGTGCGTGAGCAGAAAGCAACAAAATCATGCTTGCAAAGCCCTGGGTTATATAGCTGGGACTTCCTGGAAAAATCATGGTGTTTGCTGAGGTGCCTCCCAAATCTCTGCATGGGCAGGCCAGCAGCACTAGGCCCTTGTTTTCCAGCCAGGAGCCTCCATCACTCGCAGATGCATTAAGTGCGTTATGACTTTAGTATTTTTGTCATCTTTGCAAGAAGATATTTGTCTAAGCTTGTGATTATTAAAACCTTGCCTATGCCAGTGGCCTCTAAGAAAAAACGTGTAATATTTGTTTGGAAGTATTGATAGTGGTGATTTAGTCTGTTTTTGGTATAGATTTGTTGTTGGTTTTTAAGATAAGCAGTGCTAAAGTGAATAAGCACTTTAAAATGAATATGCAGTCTTGCAGATCTCCCTTAGAAGTCCATTGGAATTTGTGCTGGAAAAAAGTAAGAATTAATAGGACTTCAAATGCCTTTTTTCCCCCCTTTTCTTTTTTTAAACTAGATAGCATGTCTCCCCATCAGTGGAGTTTCTCTTCACACTGCTCCAAACCATATCCATCATCTTCTGCTACAAGCATGTCAAATTCTGGTCTGAATTTTTCTGTTGCTGGTCTGGCAGGCCAATACCAGCCATCAGCTCTGCGGAGTCATCCAACTCAGCCTGCGGATTTATGGCCCTTCCCTTCAATTGGTTCGCCCAGTCTTTCTGGCTCAGTATATCATCATACCTTGCCTGACCTGCACGTGGCAGATGAACCGATCTCTGACAGGAAGTACGGTTCTCTTCTTGGTCTTCTGCAACAGGAAAGGTGCCTAACATCCATGCAGGAATGTACCATGAAGCAACACTCTAGTTCTGCTTGTATTACTGGACCTGCTAGGTTACAAAATATAAGTCAAAGTTTAACTCCTGGGGGAGGTAAGGAAACATTTACTATCACTTCCTTCTTTGATGACATCTTATGTAAAGACACAAAATAATACAGTGTGTTCCAAAGGTGTGAAAAACCAGTCATCTTCAGCCCAGCTCGTAGAAAGGTTTTTTTTTTCAGTAGATAATCAATGCTCTGTACTGTGGTACGTGGAATTCATTGCCTGTATAGTACAGCTTAAGAAAAAATATGCGTTACCAGTTTGTACAGTTCTTTATCTTCTGGCTTACACTGTGGAGATATTTTAAGTGAATATTTATATTATTCAGTGCTAGCAGGATTTCTAGCTTGTAGGTGGTTCCTTCCAGCAGCAGATACTCAGTGCACACAATGCCATCATGCTTTCATATTATGACTAGAAAGGGGTGTCCAGGTAAGGGACCTGAGCAACCTAACTTATTCTGTGGGGCATTAATGGTACTCTGAGTACCGGACGTGAAACTGCAGCCTTTATCAAGCTTTGTCTCCAAGCTAATTGCTGCGTTCTATGGAATGCTGCTGCCCTGTGTGTCAAAGGCTGTGATTGCTCTCTAAGGCAGACCTGCCAGAGAAAACGCAATTCATGCAGGAGTTGTGATGATTTTGCTTGTTTATCAACAATTAATAGGAATCGCAATGGTTGGTGCTGCCAGCACATAAAAAAGAGGTGGCTGGTGACTGCATTGAGTCTACTTTCCCGCCAGAATAGTCCAGAACTGACATGTGCAGCCAGACTGAAGTCTAGTTCCCAAGAGCTTGCATCTCTGAGGCATCTAGATTTGTTCGATAAAGCTGCTCCCTTACAAGTAATTTCTGCATTGGGGAAGTTCTCTGGGATCAGGCTTCCAGGCCAGGGCCCTGGTGCTCTTTTAGGGGATGTCTGCATTGCTGGTTTTGGGCATTACCCAGATATTCAACTTGGCACTGGTGTCCAAGAAAAAGGATTGTGAAATTGTTTAGGGAGTCTGCTGGAAAAATATAGCATGTCCTAACTGGTGCTCCTAGATATAAAGGACAAGGCACGTGAAGAAGCAATCCTGACTCTTGAGTTTTGAAAAACAGCCAACTGTGAAATGCCTACTGGTCACCCAGTTTCTAATCTGCATTAGCAGAAATGTGGCAGAATATGAGTTAAAATCTGTCTGCATGCAGTTTTATCCATAGCTTCCCTTGTAAGGCTATACTGAAGCTACGGTGTTACAAGGATCCCAGCTGTAGGTATGTTGCTAACCTGCCCCTACTATAGTTTCCAATGCCTGTCTGTGCCCAGGCATGGAAAGTGGAGAGTGGGTCTTCAGCTGGAATATATTTTTTCCGCTTATGGTAGATGGATTTAGCTGAGAGTGTATGCGCGTTGCACAGACATGCACCCTTGACTGTTTCCAGTTATTAAATGACAATCTAATTACTTTAAGGACACCATCTGGAATTCTCAGATTTAATTTAAGATGGTTAAGTCCCCCCTTACCCTAAGCGAGACAACGGGAGCCTATCAAGGCTTGGGAGCCCTGGAACTGACGCTTCCCAAAAAGGAGGTATTTCATAAAACCAGTCTTGGAATCCAGTGAAGGGAAACGGTACTAACAGCAGTGGACTTTTCAAAATTTCAGGAAGAACTTGAGTTCAAAAAACTTTAAAGAAAGAAAATAAAATTTGACATCCTTCAACCATCTCAGCTTAAAACCTTTTCTTTTAGGATGTTTACAAGGCCCTTCTGAATTTTCAAAGAGCCTCGTAACACTGCGTATGTAACACTGCATGTGTGCTTATCAGGCAATCCAAGAAGAATAGATAAGCAACTAGCCCATGTTCACAGGGAGTCTTTGGCAAATCCCTGGGATGTATGCATCTAGTCTGGCTGTTGGAGTCCCTGTTTTTTGGCTGTAACTGTTAAATATACTTCTCATTGCGCTGTGTCATGTTTAAGAACAGCTGATATTTATATTTATGGAAGCATATACTGCCGTGCCAGACTGCACAGAGCTCCCCAGCACCTGTGCTATAGGCTGGGCTGCAAAAGCACAAGGTTTCTTTAGGAACTACTGTCTGATTTTAGCTCTGTGTTGAATCTCTGCTCATCTCCAGTATTTTATTTTTTTAAGAGAGGAAAGCAAGCTCTTACCAAGGCTCAGAAAATCCCAGTGCAAGCCATGCTGCCGCAGGTGAGTTATGGAACTAGCAGGTTTGGAACAAATTAATCCTCAGCTGTAAAGGGCAGCTGCCTTTCTTGCGCAGAATTAAAGCTTCTTGCTTGCTTGCTTGCTTCCAGGCTGTATTTCAAAAGCTTGTTTTTCCCACAGGCATGCACATTGCCCCTTGTAGTTACATTTACGGGAAAGAGAGAAAACACTCTATTAAAATGAGATAAATTTTCTAACTCCTCCTGTCTTAGTTTCTGCAGTGGTACCACTGCCTACCACTTCACAACATGCCTATTTTGCACCGTCTGTCCACGTTTTAGATCCCTGAAAGATTTCAACTGTAAGATGGTAGATTTTACTGTGACCTTAACTGAAGAAACTTGTTAGCTCCGCTGCCCATGAAATCCTGATGTACTGCTACATCTTTCTGCAGGTCCTGTGTTTGTCACCTGTCCCCAAGAGTGGTCAGGTGTGTGCTTGCTAGAGTTCATGGCTTTGCAGCCATTATGATGACATCCCTCACCTTGTTTTTCAAGCGTCCACCTTAAGCCTGAGCTCCCCGTTTGGCCTGTGCGCTAGCATTGCTCCAGTTTTCACTGAAAAATCCACCGCGCTGTTAGAGTTGTTCTTTTAGGAAATTATTCCCAGAGCATTCAGGCTCCCATTAACTTTTATTTGTCTCTTGAGGCTGTATCCGGTCTTTGTTACACTGACGTGGGTTCTCTGGCGTGCAATGTTTTGGGGAGACTGGGTGGCTCATTCTGGCTATTCTCGTTAGGGCCCTGTTGCATCAGAGAAGGCCAAAAGGTGCAATTCTGTGTGCACAACATGTTAAAAGATTGCATGGAGTATGCTGTTTCACAGTCCTGATCCTGCTGTATCTTTCAGGTATACAGACTCATGACAGAAGACGAGATTTGTACTTTTAGCAACTGGATGTTTCTACTTTATTCCTAAAGAGCGAGCTCTTCCTGTGAACTTTGATCATTTGCAACTGTGAATCAAGAAGAAACGGACTGCAGCTATTCTGTGCTTTTTCTCTCAGTTGGAAGAATGCCTGTACTATTTACTCTTTTAGGAATGAAAATAATCTTCCTCTGTTCATTAAACAATTTCTCATAGTTGCATTAAACCTGACAGAGTATATTTGGTATGAAGATATGCTGTCTACTGAAGGACTTTCACTTAGTCCTCTCTTAAAAAGTGCTAAGAGTCCTTTCAATCTTCCTACGCTTGTTCGTTTACCATCTTTTGGTAAGAAACGCAGCTCTGTTGCAGAGGGATGCATTTGGCATGAAATTCAGTGCTACGGCTTCATATCCTGATTTGGTAGTTCCATGTTGTTGTTTAGAAAAGCCTAAGACAGTGACTCTGCTTGCAAGGGACTTCAAGGCAACCACAGGCAAGAAAGCACATTATCATATTCATATTTTGGAAGTACAGTAATTTGTAACCGTAGTCATTCTTCAGACAGGCATATGCCTTAAGGCTCTGTTTTGGCCTCTCATAATCATCGTCTAGAAAATACAGTGAATTAACAATAGATCTGGGAGGAAATTGAGGTCCTCGCTGGACATAAGAAAAATACCACTATGAGCAAAGCTAGAGCTGGGAATAGTCTATTTTTCCAGCATCTCTGCAGGTATAAGGTTCTCTTTCTAAATAAACCCTATGTGATTGAATTTTAAATAGTTGAACTTGGAGGGCTTGGCCACTGGAACAAGCAATGCTCACTGTGTTCACAGTAACTGCGTCTCAGAACAAGGGGACGGAGTAGTGTCCTCAGTGCTTCTCTGTCCAGCTGGAGCGGCAGCTATAAACTGTACAGCAACGCTGCAGATTCAGATCTTCCCCTTCACATCACCACTCACCCTTGGCAAATATGTTTGCTGAAGTTACTGTGAGTAAAACATCATGTGATTGGTATTTTGGTATTTGGGCTTGCCTACGTAATCCCTGCAGGAAGAGGAATACTGCTTTCTACTGCCTTTATAGCAAATCCTAAGGATAAAAAAGATTTGGTTTTATTTGATTGCTTCTTCATTAGCTGCATATTCATTTAATATACAGGAGCGCTCTTAATTTTATGTGACAGTTCTGTGCAGTTGTTTAAGGAAATTTAATCCTTGAAATCCACAGCTTAGCTGAGGTAAGTGTTTATGGTCCTGTTTATATCAAATACCTACATCGCCACTGGTCTACCCCAGTCATAACACTTTGAGTGTGGTTTTTTTAATAACTAACTCGGGTCTGACAACTTTAGATATTTGTGGCACTCTGATGACTAATCCCAGTTTGTATCGGACAAGCCTGCCCCAGCAAATACACAGGCTAGACCAACACATCTGAGATCACATCCAGGGGAACCATTTCTAACTAAGCTGACAAAATGTCAACTAGTGTCCTTTCTCCCTGTAGACAAGCACTGAAAAATCACTCATCTCGCTTCTAGTATTTCCTCAAAATTGCATTTCTTCTCTTGTAACTTTGGGAGTACCTTTCCAATTAGTTCTCCTTTGTTATTGCACCCACAAATCTCTGCGTTCACTGTTTTTTTTTTTTTTTTTTTTAAAGGCTACATGGCAATACAGTCTGATTTCCTCTATGAGCTAAAGCACAGATTTCCATGCTGTACTTCATACATCAGCCTTAGTACTGTGTGCTGTAATTCCAGTGAAGTTACTGCTTTAACACAGTATAAATTTATTTTTTCTGTGCCATCTCTCACAATGGAAAATGCTTAAGCGATTTAGCCTTAAGATCTGGAAAAACATATAACAGTATATTTAAATGCTTTTAAAACATAATGTTCCTTGGAACAATTTGGTCTTGTGCATGTCACAGCTGGAAACATTCAAGGTGAGATATCACCGTGTACCTCTTATTTAAAGGACACAAGGCACCAGCGATTGCCCCTCGCCGTGGGGACGCTTGCAGCTGATGCTGCAAGGTTCGGCAGCGTGCCGTCCTTGCCACCGTGCTGGGTAGAGGAAGGGGTGCTGCGCCCGGGGAGAGCGGGGCGCCCTTCCTCGGGGCTTAGAGCGGGGGCCTTGGGGCGCAGGGCTGGGGAAAGAGGCAGTATCGCTTGGGTGCTTCGCCGTACGGCCCTGCTGCGAGACGCGCGAGTGAGCGCCTGTCAGAGCCCTCGGGGAGGTGCAGCGTTTGTAGCCGTTATTACTTCTCTTCTGCAATAAGCACAGTGAACCTGCCCGCACAGCTTTGCCTTCGATGACGTAGCATGAACAGAGATTTGAGCGCTTTGCAGCAGTTCCCCAGACCAGGCAGGCTTGTATTTCTTTCCTCGACAGCATCGTTCATCCCGAGCGGTTCTGCGCTGCATTCCTGATGCTGATGCGCGGCCGTGGTGCCCTGCTGCCTCTTCCTTCCCGCGCAGGACCCGTGTTCCCGCGCTCGGAAGCGCTTGGCCAAGCGCCGTCCCCCGTTCTGCGAGCACCATCTGCTGCTTCCTACGTTTGTTTTCGGTTCCCACTCCCAACGCGGCAGTCGCGCTGGGGACGGGCCGAGAACTGGCGTGCGGTCCGGGCCCGCTTCACCCTCCGTCCGCGGCTTCCGACGGCCCCGGCTGCCCGCGCAGCCCCCGCCCGGACCCCTCGAAA